GGCTAACTCAACAAAGGTACTGAACTTTTTAATTTTAGTTTATTTAAATAGGATACACAGATCAGACAGGACAGCCCCACAATGCTATGATCACAGGATACTTACACACGTGTCTATTTGTTGATACATATATGTACACACATACCACCATACATGGTTTTGTGTCTGCACCTAATTATACACCCTCATACCTCAAAATGTACATATAGATATAACCAGACACAACTGCATAGAACAGACCCTTACCTATTGTTATAGGAGGACATGACAATGAAAATTGAAACCGGAACCAGTGCAGGAGTCAGTACAGGGAGATTTGACACAGAAAGAATTGTTGCAAGAGGGATATGGGTGGGTTGTAAAACAACGTGAATTGGGGGATGCTTTTTAAACGAAAACAGGAAGAAAACAAAAAGAAAATCCAATAAGACCACCAGTGGTTTGGAAATCAAAACTGTTTCCTTTGATCTTTTCATCTTTCAGCAAGAGACTTCCACAAATGACACATATCCTTGGAAGGCAGACCTGAACTGTAAGGATCGCCTTGATAACTGGGAAGAACTCCAAAGGATATAGAAAAGGGGAAGGAAGCCCTTCTTAACCAGGATGACCTAACTGTCTAACTGACATTCATCCACTAAGAAAATTTCAGGCACTCTGGTTTGCACAAGTGTTTATTTCAAAGTTATTAAAATTGTTACGGGAAGGAGTAGATGAAATCCTAACTGATAGATAGTTTACCTAAAAGATATACCATCTAACAACCTAGCTTGATGATTTTTCCCCTTGCTCAAAATTAACTGAATTATACACATACAAGCTAAACAATAACTCCTCCCTCTAGTAAGTGGTATAATTGTTACCAGCTAGGAATGTTTTGATTTGCTTCCCAGGGCTCACCTTACCCATCTAAATCTCTTGATAGATACTCTTCACCCATCCTGGCCTAGTAATTCCCTCAATATACTATGCTCCTGATTGCCTCTGAGTCTTTGCACATGCTGCTTCCTCTACGTGAAACACTCTTCCCAATGTCTTACCAAGTTAGCCCATGCACATGCTTCAGATCTGTTTATACACCACTTCCTTAGGAATGTCGTCTCCAACACACTCCACCTAACCCAGATTATATCAGTCCTTCATGTTTTATAAACTCATAGCCCCTACTCTTCTCTTTCATAGCTCTTTTCACAGTTATAATATCTTAATTACTTGTGTAATTATCTTGTCCTCTGGATTGTTGGCTCCATGAGGTCAGATATTAGAATCTGCTTTGTTCATCATTTACAATGCCTATAGGATTTAGTACAGGTCCCAATGAATAGTAGGTGCTCAATAAATATTAATCAAATGCTCAATTAGTGAATGAATGTAATAAATTTTGTTTTCATTTTAGATTTATTCATCTAATCCCTTCCTTCCATATTTCTGTATCATAAGCTACACTATTATGGAGTTCAGCTCAAAAGAAACCCTAAGCCCTGTACATAGTTGATTAACTCTGATATTCCTTGTGCAGTTCCCCTTAAGATCTGATAGAACATCTGGTGGTAAATCATTAAGTCACAGCAGCTATAAACATGTTCAGGCCCAGCATGAACTTGGTCTGACATCCAACCAGTCTTCTGGCTGTCGCAGAAATGCCTCCATCCATTTCAGAAATGTGCTTACCACAGAAATACAAGGCTCAGTTTGTTATATTTATGAGATACTGAATTTCCAGGATGCCTTCAATCAATAGAACATAGACATTATATTCTTACCTGAAGGCAACAGTGATGTGACTGGCTGTGATTCTGGGAGTGAGTGAAATAAGACAGCTCTCAGAAAAATTATTTTAATAGAGATGTGCTAACTTACCTTAGGGAGAATGGCTTTTGGAACAATGAGGCTTGATTGTAATGAGAATTATGGAAATTTTTTAAATATCCATTGGCCAAAAGGGATTAATCAGTGATGGAGATATAGAAAGGAAGCAATGGGAGTGAAGGGCGTCACAGACAACAGATCACGATGAACTATGGTCCCACTGGCAGAACATTTTCTCCCTTGAGAGAGGGTTGAGCAGCCTATCTGTGTCTATTGTGATTTAACACCCTTTTCATCTCCTTGTTTTGACTCTATGCTCACCAAGCTACCTTTGATTATAATTTGGTTTCTTGTGTCTGTCTGTCTACTGGGAGGCAGTATGTTAATCTTGCCAATATGCATGTCCCTTGGACCTGACAGTTGCTTCTCCTTGCACTGGCACATGGGTTTTGGGAACTTGGTTAACCACAGTCCTCTCCTGAGAGCTATGCCCCTCCTACCCCCCCAACCAGATCCTGTCTAGAATCAGGTGACAGGGTGTGTCCAGCTGAGGCCAGGCCCAAAGACTGGAACATTCACCGCCCAGGCTGCCCTGGCAAGCTTCCTGAGGTGTGGTCTCTCCTCTCCCTTCTCCTGGCAAAATCCCAACCAGCTATACGCTGTCTCTGTCCAAATTTAAAATGGAGACCCAGCAAAGTAACTTGTCTGTTAAAACTAGCCACACCCTCCTAGAGATCTTTTTGAAGATTTCCATTATGAGACATTAAATTCAAGTCACATTGTGGTGATGATGAAAACTACAGCCTCAGGAAAGGCAATGACAGCTGGGAGGAAGGCAAGGAGGAGAGTGGAAGGAAAGAGTAAGGAACTAATGTGCTCATCATAGAAACTGAGGACAAAAGATACTGTATCAGAGAGTTGAATGGAAACCTGGTAGAATATAACTAAGTTAACCAACTATCAACAAAAGAGCTAAAAATAACAATAGTATCTATACTGCAATAGATAACATGGATGAAGAAATAACTAACACTAGTGATAGTTACAACATGGCCCTAGATAAGTACCTAGATGAGGAAAGTAGAAAGGCAAGAGAATCAAATTCAGCTCCACCATAGCAGGGGGCTGATCATGTAAGTAGAAGCATGTTATTTAGAGATCTAGGGCTAAACTCACCAAAAACATAGCTTAGAAAGTTCTAAGTGTTTACCTCTGGAATCTGACTGTGGAAGAAGAGTTGGGACAAAGGAGGGCTTTTTTTAAAGTAAATCTGTTACTATTATCATTATGATTTGATTTTGATCATGTGCATTTTGATTCATTTGTTCATTCAGTAAATATTTATAAAGTGGCAATCATGTACAAGGCATAGTCCAGTCACTGGAGATAGAATATCAAACATAATACACAAAAATCCTGCCCTCAAAAATGTAGTAGAGGGGAAAGAAAAGAAATAAATTAAATACATGGAATGTCTCATGATGTTAGTGTGACTGAGGAAAATAGAGATCACTTAGGTGAGAGATTTGAACACAGACTTGAAGGAAGTGAGGGAGGAAGACTGTTCCAGGCAGAGGGAAGAGCCAGTGCAAAGGTCCTGAGGTGGAAACACCTAATGAGTTGGAGGAAGAGCAAGAGGCTAATGGGGCTGGAATGGAAGGAATGAGAAGGCACAATCAAAAAGGAGCAGTGGTGCTGGGATGAAGCCAGGACACAATGTGAAGCTTTATAGCAAGAGCCAGATGTTGGCCTTTACTCTGAGTGAGATGGGAAGCCCAGTGAAGATATTCCAGCAGAAGAGTAACATCTAACAAGTTTTTACACATCTGACATTTTAAATAATAGGCTCTTTTGAGATTGTTGGGAGATAGAACAAGTAAGGAGGGAAAACAGTTGATAAACATTTTTTAACTTCTAAAGAAAGACAGTAAAAAAATAGACTCTCCCAATTTATCATTAAATAAAAGGGCATGTTTTCTTGTTTTAACATGTAAATATCTGTGGGCTAAATATCTCTTGTGATGCGATGGAAGAACTTTCTATAGTTGTCCTTGGAGGTTCTTTTAGCGTGCTTGCTTTCAAGGAGAGTCCATCTGCCTCCCAATGTCACCAGGATCACATGGAAGAGCTTTTTACAAATATAGACTCCTGGGGTCCTCCCCTCAAAAGATTCTGAATATTTTGGCTTGAGGTGGGATCTAAGCACTGATGGCAGGCGGGCAATACGCCCTTGATCCCTCAAGGGCAGGGTGGCGGGCACAGTACACCCAGGTGCAGGCAATAAGTGGGTGTGTCATCTTGAGAGAATTTAGAGAATGATAATAGAATCAACTAAAAGCCTGCTTTTTATTACCACCATGTGCTAACAGTTCTAAACATTGTCAGTGATAAAATCCTTCTCCAAAATCTGGTTCGGTTGGTTGGTTGGTTGGTTTCATTTTTGTTTTTATGTTATTGTATTTTATTTTCTTTGTCTAAGTTCTAAGCACTTGCTGTTAAGTTTAAGTAATATTTACTCAAGCCTCAAATTGTACATTTTTATTACCAATCCTTTAGCGAACATCATATTGTAGATGGAAGTAATCTGCAGAACTCCCAGTTATTTAGCTGGCGCCCAACACAGTCTCACCTATATATGTTCATTTCCGGAGAGAGGTTTTTTTTTTAATGTTATATTTATTTCTGAGAGAGAGACAGCATGAGCAGGGGAGGGTTAGAGAGAGAGGGAGACATAGAATTTGAAATAGTCTCCAGGCTCTGAGCTGGCTGTCAGCACAGAGCCCAACGCGGGGCTGGACCCCACTAACTGTGAGATTATGACCTGAGCCGAAGTCGGGTGCTTAACCGACTGAGCCACCCAGGTGCCCTCGAGAGAGTTTTTAACAGTTCACGTTGGAGATTTGCTTTGGGTTCAAATGGCATCTTTAATACCTGTAGTACTACACTGTCCTGCATTCTAAATAAATAAGAATAACCCATGGTTAATAGTCTTAGTCAAGATAAAGAAACAGAACTTGAGTTACTTCAAATTTGCCATCCTATGTAATCACCTAGAGTTTTTATTTGTGTTCCAAATTTAAGATGGGGGAATAGAATGTAAATTATTAAATACAACATGTATTTTGGGATGGGCAAATTTTATTCCACACAATAACTATCGAATTGAATAATCTTTTTTTAAGTAGGTGACATGCCCAACATGGGTGGGGCTTGAACTCATGACCCTGAGATCAGGAGTCTCATGCTCTACCAACTGAGCCAGCCAGGCGCTCCTTGAATAATATCTTTAAATTAAAAGGTCTTCTTTTAAATTGTTAACTATGAAATAAAAATGAGTCCAAATGTTTTTTATATATACCATTGTTTTAGTTCATACACATTATGTACAACATACATTATACATACATACAACGTGACATATATCTTATATGTCATAGTTACTACCAATTGCATAATTACAATTAAAATAATTTTGTCACAAAATGGAAGGGGCTGTTAATCTGCTCCAATTGCCAAATGTGCTAGGTACTTCACTGGATTTAGAGGTTTATGTTTTAAAAGTTCCCCAGGTAACCTTTTATATGCAACCAGATGCAAGAATTACTATCTGTACCACATTCAGCACTTGCTCTAACTCTGTTTCTATACTGTCCATCTTCCTTCCCTATACTGGCTCTACTCCCATTAAGTGTCCACGTTAGGTCTACCAAGGTCCCTGGGGAGGTAAAAGGGTGCTAATTAAAACCCCTGTTGCCTCTAGGTAGTGGTGTGCTAGTAAATACTTAACAACCAGCTCTCTAGGGGATTGATAGCATTTATGGATTTCTATAGTGTGAAATACTCCCAATGCCAACATGATGTCAGCCTGCTTGAAAAGTTCCTGCAAATGTAACAGTTAGCTCTCACAAGCTTGTACAAGTCAGCTGCAGCGCACAGCTGCTCCCTGAGGTCCCTAAGACTTTCCACTGGAAGGATAACGGATTCCCATGGAAGAGTTCACACATTTTAGAAAATAGAATTCCATTTTCTGGATCATTCTTTAAGTTTGTAAGCTCATCATTAAAATTCAGACCACTCTCCGGGGCGCCTGGGTGGCTTAGTTGGTTGAGCGTCCGACTTTCGCTTAGGTCATGATCTCCCGGTTCGTAGGTTCGAGCCCCGCGTCGGGCTCTGTGCTGACTGCCAGCTCAGATCCTGGAGCCTGTTTCAGAGTCTGTGTCTCCCTCTCTCTCTGACCCTCCCCTGCTCATGCTGTCTCTCTCTCTCTCTCTCTCCTAGAAATAAATAAAACATTAAAACAAATTAAAAAAAATTCAGACCACTCTTACATATACTCTGTCACCAAGGGTCAAGAATGACAACCCTTCACATTTCTTTCTGTATCCATTTTGTGAAACACACACCAGCCCCATATTTAGAAGTGGCTCTGGGTAAAAATGTCTTTCTAGCAACGTGTGTGAACACACACAACTACAAACTTTTCCTTCTCCCCATCAGTTTGTTGGCAGAATGTGCCCAAGAGAACACGCTACTTCCCTGTCCCCAGCCAGCCTGTTCCTCCATATAATAGTCATTCTTAATTCTTTTCTCTCAAAAGGAGATGCTAAGAGATGAGGCAGCTTCCCTCCCTGACTTTGAACTGTGAGTCGTGGTCAAACAGACCTGGGTGCAAATCACATTTAATACCACTTGTAACATGTGAGACCATTTACCGTCACAGAGCTTGAGCAATAATAGTTGCTACCTCAGAGGACTGCTGTGAGATTTAAATGAGATAATACTAGCCAAGTGTGTAACCTATGCCTGAAACATAGTTAGCCTCAGCAAGTGCTATTATTATTCTAATTACCTTGATAAGTATTAATGTGATTACTTCCCCAGACGTTCCAGTTACCATGGAAATGAATAATTGAGGTGCTGATGCTCACTAAGATGCCTATGGACTGAGAGCAGCTAGAGGATTCTTCACATTGCTCAGTCCTTGCACTTATAATTAGTTGCAGAGCATTGCTTAGAAGCAATCCTAATATGTAATTTCTTTGCATTGCTTTGTATAAACAAACCCTCAATACTTAATTCCTTCTTATTACTTAACTGTTCACTTATTGTGCTTTGTTTTCTTAACTATTTTGTGAAAATGCAGGAGTCATGTCTTATTCATCAGTGAGCTCCTTCAAAGCACTTAGCAGAGTGCCTGGTATGAAGTGGATCTTCAGCAAATATTTGATTGACTACATTGTTTGTAGAAAAGTTTGCACTGTATTTTTGTTTGTTTGGCTTGGTGCTATAAGTCTGTACTATTTTCTTATTCTTGGTTCCCAGGGATTAAGGAATGTGGATAAAACAGAGCACCCTTCCTCCCCCCAGCAAAAGTAGTGTACATTATTTATATTAGCACAAAGTATATATGTATACAGATATATCCTATTGTAAGGAATATAATTTTATCTTCAGAATGATGCTAATGCATTAAGTATCTTCAGATCTGTGGCATTTCTCTATGCCTCTGTTAGAAACTCAGTAGGACATTTTGGGAGCTGACCCAGGCTATGTCCATGACTGTGCTAAGCCCAGGTGTTCAACACCTGCCTGTCTCAAGATAGATCTTGCCATAGGTTCTTATAAGGGAACCAGGAGGCAGGAAGCCTGAAGAAATTTGGGGACGATGGTACTACCTGCATGGCTATGACACACGTAAAAGACAGCACTTGCTGAACTTTTAGTTGTCGGGAGCGAAGGACAGGGAGAGTCATGGATGGAGCTAGGTGTTTGACTTGAACTATGGGAAGGATGCAGTTTACTGAGTTGGGAAACTATGGCAGAGAAACAGATTTCAGAAGGAAGTAGGTAGTCTAGTTTTGGAAACATCAAATTTGAGATACTTATAAGTCATCTATGTGCAGATGTCAAGAGGGAAATTAGACCTATAAGCCTATAGTCCTAAAGAGTACTCTGGGCTGGATATATAAGTCACGGGGAGGTCATGAACACACGGATGGCATTTGAAAACAGGAGTGGATAAATTTACCTGGAAAGAGAAATGAGAAACTCCTATTTAGAAAAGTCAGAGAAGAATGGAAGCCTGAAAGAAACAGATATGAACTGACAGAGAAGTGGGAGAAAGACCAAGAAAAAGAAGAATCACAGAAGCCAGAGAAGGAGCATTTGAAGAGGAAAATTTCTCTAGTCGGTTTCCTCAGGAAGCAGACTCTGGGACAAAACTTAGCATCAGAGGAGTCTCTCTAGGTTTAACACCCATGGAAAGGAATGGAGGGACACAGGAGTGAGTAGAAAGAGAAGTTGAACTGCAATGCAGGGCCAAGGGCACCTTGGATTATCCCACAGATGGATCTGGAGGTAGAATGACTGTTCAGAGTCCAGCTAGAAGTAGCTAGGCCTTTACTCTCCCTCACATCAGTCATATTGGATGGAAGCCACAAAAGAAGAAGTGTGATCTTGGCCAAGGGGCTCTTTGCAGCTGAGGGCCTCCTTGAACAGGCTCACAGCTGGAGTCTCTGTCTACATCACTCCCAACAGCTGGGAAAACAAGTCCTTCACTGAAGGTGGCTCTGGGTAGTACATTGCAACATCTATCCAGACAGCAAGTTGTCAGCAGTGCTGAAGATTCCAGTAAGTCAAAGGTGTGGAAGTGTGCATTGCACTTGACAATATTGGTGTGCTGGCATTATGGGTTAGAGTCTGGCTTTCTAAGTGTTGGAGAGTTACTGAAAGTGGGATAATTCAGAAAGATGTGCACATGACTCGTATTTGAAGGGGAGCTCAATAATGAGGTAGAGGCTAAAATATGGAATGTGGGATGAGTGAGGGAATTTGTTGTTGTTGTTTGTTATACTATGAAAGATCTTCTCCTTCCCTGTGACCCAATGGATTTCCCATCCTTGAGTTCCATGAGACATTTGTACACCCTTAAAATAAAGTAGCCTTTATATGCTTATGCTTTGTGAAGGTGTTTTTTTTATTAATTGCAACCAAAGGGTCTGTATCAGTCAGGTTTGATCAGAGAAGTACTACCATGAGTGCTATAGGGTAAGGGATCTATTATAGTACTTAGACTTTCTATGATGATAAGCTGTGTTGGAAAATTTCATATAAGGTGTTTTCTCTATGCCTGATGTTGGACCAGAGCTATAGATCAGCAGGGGTGTCAAGAAGGAAGAAGGGAAGGAAGGAAGGAAGGAGCAAGGAAGGAAGAAGGAAAGAAGAAGGAAGGAGGGAAGGAAGAAAGGAAGGAAGAAGGAAGAAGAAGGAGGAAAGAAGGATGGAAGCACAAGAAATGGGGAGAGCGAGGACAATCTAGAACTCCTGAAATGGAACCCATGAAGACAAACTACCTGAACTTTGATAATATGAGTTACCTATGAGAAAAGCCAGTATCTTTCATCATGGAGCTGTACATATTCGTGGCCCAAGCCTCAGAGAAGCTAAAGTAGAAAGTTCAACAGTAAGTGGAGGAGCTAGAAGCCTGGATGCTGCCCCATGCCAGCAAGGGGAGCAGCAGACCAGTGGCAACGTGCAGGAGCTGCCACGGTGCCTTGTATAGAAATGGCGAAGCTGTGGCCCCTGGGGTGGCTCAGTTGGTTAAGCATCCGACTTCAGCTCAGGTCATGATCTCATGGCTCATGAGTTCAAGCTCTGTGTCAGGCTCTGCGCTGGCAGCTTGGAGCCTGGAGCCTGCTTCAGATTCTGTGTTTTCCTCTCTCTTTACCCCTCCCCTGATCATGCTCTGTCTCCCTGTCTTTCTCTCTAAATAATAAATGAACATTTAAACTTTTAAAAAAATGGCTGAAGCTTTGTTTGTCTTTCAAATCTCATCCAAATTTCTCTTGTAGCCAACGCTAATCTCAAATCATAAATAATTTCACTTCTCTCAATGTACACAATAAAAAGACACCACAGAGCCCCAGATAATATAAGGGCTATCATTTCCTTGTGAAATTATTGTAAAGAACTGGAGATACTATGTACATGTAAATCTCACAGAGAAAGAGTGGTCATAAATAATGAGAAGGGAATGATAATGCTATTGATGATACTAATAAGATAACTTGTTAAAATGTTAATTTATGGTTTCTTTTTCTTATATTTTTCATTATATTTTAAGGATATGGTCCCAATTGTCCCTGATATATATTATTCCCTTCTTCTTAGGACTAGCATTCCCTCCAGTACTATTTTTCTTTTGCAGCCATGGGTAGTCTTATACATTAGTTCAGTCAATGGACTGGGAGTACAAATGACATGAAAACT